GTGGAACAATTAGTCGTCATGGAACTTTTGTGTACGCGCCGCAAGTAGCCTGGGTGTTCTCTGGAACCTTAAGAGAAAATATCTTATTTGGCGAGTCGTACAATGAATCAAGATACACCAGGGTAATCGAGGCTTGCGCCCTCACGAAAGACTTTCAGCAGTTTCCGAACGGTGATGAAACTGTTGTTGGTGAGCGCGGTGCCGTTCTTAGTGGTGGTCAGCGTGCAAGAGTAAATTTAGCACGCGCCGTGTATGTGGATGCAGACCTCTACTTGTTGGACGATCCTCTCAGTGCTGTGGACTTCAAAGTGGGTCGACATATCTTTGAAAAGTGTATCAAGGATGTGCTTGGTAAAAGGACCCGACTGTTAACTTCTCATCAAGAGTCACACATGATAGATGCTGACCAAGTGATAATGCTGTATAAAGGGCGCGTACTGGGAAAAGGGACCTTCGTAGAGCTTCAAGATAAAGGCATTTTAAATACCACCATTTACCCACTGTGCAAAAACACTCTTATAGAGAAACTGTCCGACAACACCGCAAGGGATAACGAAGAGAAACTCAGCGGTGTGATGCCACTTGCTACTGATAGTAATGGTCTGGAAATATCTGTTGAAGATCGGGCAATCGGAACGGTGTCAAGTAAGCTTTACTGGGACTACTTCAGAAGTGGCATTCACCCCTTTTTGATCATTGGAGTTGTTTTTCTGTGTCTTATTGCTCAAGGTTAGCCTTAATAAATATATGTAGTAGCGAGGAACAGTCATTACACGTTATGTTTCGCCTGTGGGGGAGAGGTTGTATCACGGTAAAATTTGAATGACTCCCCTAATGCTTTGTAACACTCTTATGATCCCCACCTTTCTCATTGGCAGTTAATGCACATTCAATTAACTAGCTATAGAGCTATAATGTTCTCTTTATACTCTGTTCCCTCCTGTAACTCCTCCTAAATCCCCCCTACCCTCCCAGGTGACAAAGGATGACTGGCTCCTCAAATATGACAAGTCCTTACGTTTTGGGACAATTATTGGAAACGAGGCATGTAAGAAGTCATAAGTGTTTTAGTTACTCACCGTCTATTTCTCCCTTTTTCAGCATCGATGGTTGCCCCCGACGTTTGGCTGTCGTTTTTGACCAGGAAACGTCCTTCAGAACAGAGAGACAAGACGAATCTAGCTATCTATGGCTGTTTTGTCGCTGCCTCTTTCATATTAGGCATCGTAAGATGCTACATTTTATTTTTAGTTTGTCTAAGATGCTCCGAACGTCTTCATGACAAAATGGTTGTGGCTCTTTTACAAGCACCGGTACTTTTCTTTGACTCAAATCCTGTGGGTAGAATTCTGAATCGATTCTCTAAAGATGTCGGCTGCATGGACGAATTATTACCGCTACAGTTTCTATCTACAGTTCAGCTGGTGCTGCTGTTGTTCTCATCTGTTATCGTGCCTTCTGTTACGAATCCTTGGCTTGTGTTTGTCACCATTCCAGTGACGGCTATGATTCTTTACTTCGCAAGATTTTATTTGAAGAGTTCCAGGGAGCTGAAAAGGTTGGAATCAATGTGCCGAAGCCCAGTGTTTTCTCACATATCAGAGACTCTTGAAGGACTGGACACGATTCGAACAAGAGGCAGACAGAAGGATTTCATTGAGAAGTTTTACAGGTGAGTTTGTGCATCTTATAAAGTGAACTTACAGGGTAAGCCTGTGCTTTATTTTGGTGCGATTTAGGCCTGGTCCGCAGAGCGTGTGTAGTGTTGGGGTCACAGTTGTCATTTTGAACTATTATCCACAAAAAATGCTCTCTCGTCTTCTCTCTTTTCATAATCTTTCTCCAATGCACGAGTGCTGTGCAAACTAAACATTTGAACTGTATATGATATACGTAAGCCATTCCGGAAAAAATGAAAAATAGATATGAAAAAATACGTCACTTTTTGCGACCATTTATGAGTTTCTTGTTCTGACTTACAAAAATAAAGGACAAAGATCACTTTTAGAATCGTTATCCCGTGTGCGCCCGTCTATCTCGTCCTGTTTAGGTTGAAACAAGATTCTCAACACTTAGTAGTCATGTGATAAAATGCTTATTGACCGAGTTTGGCCACTTAGTCAATAAATACACATATTGAAATTATTATCCTTTTGACAGCCACCAAGACACTCATATCCAGTCTTTTATCATGATGATGGCGAGTGGCAGATGGTTTGGTGTTCGTCTGGATGCGATCATTTCTCTGTTAGTCGGCTTAGTGATTTTAGTGGCAGTTTTGATATCGCAAGACGCCGGTAAGTAAATTTCAGTCTTGCGAGCGCGCGATTAATAGTAGCGATAGAGAACACGCGTTTCTTCGTCTACGAATAAGTTTGAGGCTTTGAACGCGAGCCGACGAGAGATCAGAATGTGGTCTTGCGCCAGGTTCTTGCGCCAGGTTCTTGCGCCAAATCCCTCGCAAACCTCTCGCCAGCTGGATTTGCTCATGGCCTCAACACAATTCAAACCATTTGAACACGTGTTCCCGCGACATCTTGCCTCGTACCTAGTCATGCATAGTTCTGCTGCTAAAGGACCGGTTAGTTTCGTACACAGACCTTCCACGGCTAAGCAGTAGCATCACTCACATTTATACGGTAGGATTTAGGCACGAGATCAGAGACCAGTCATAGTTCATAGCGGGAGGTACTAATCTTACTTCCTCCAAGATCTGAAGTTTTTTAATCACCCCCTCATCGGCAGTGAGTTTGCTAAAGGCCCTCCCCCCCTATACTCTGTTAGTGACAGCTGATCTCCATTCCATTCCTCTAGAAAACCATGTGATATCTCCAGAATCCTCCAATCCCCCCCGCCTCTTCCCAACGGACTATGTATGATCCCTTACAACACTCCAAAGTGCACTGACCTTAATGTGCCACTGGCAAACGTGACTGCGTCTCTCAAGACCATATTACCTTACTAATATCATCAGCATCAACATAGATAATCGATAGTTATTCCATAAATAGAAATACAGTAATCCATCATCAATAATTCTGGTTTTTTTCTTACTTGTTAATTTTATATTTTCTTATCAGCCTCCGCCGGACTTGCTCTTGCTTATGTCATTCAAACAGTGGCTCTGACACAATACGCTGTCAGAAAATCGTCAGATGTCGAGAATTTTATGACGTCAGTTGAACGAGTTATGGCCTACACCAAACTTGACTCAGAGCCTGGGTACAAAGTGGACAGACCTCCTCCAGAACACTGGCCACGTAAAGGAAATATCATATTTAACGATGTGTCGCTAACATATTACCCGGGGGGTCCACAAGCACTTAAAAGCATCAATCTCGGCATCAAAGGAGGCTCAAAGATTGGTGTTGTAGGACGCACGGGCGCCGGGAAATCGTCTTTTGTTTCCGCTCTGCTGCGCATGCCTGACCCTGATGGAGAGATCCTGGTGGATGGAATTCAGATTAAGGAAATTAATCTTCAAGCAGCTCGAGGATGTATATCCTCCCTTGGTCAAACTCCGGTGCTTTTCAGTGGTTCGTTGAGGAAAAACCTGGATATTGTGCAGCGCTTCCAAGATGTAGATCTATGGCGAGTGTTAGAGGATGTGCAGCTGAAAGATTTCGTGGAAAGTCTTGAGGGACAATTGGAGTACGAATTATTGGAAAATGGAGCAAACGTCAGCGTGGGAGAACGGCAGTTGATTTGTTTGGCTCGTGTTCTGTTGCAGCAAAACAAGATCATCATCTTGGATGAACCCACTGCATACGTGGATCCAGGCACAGAAGAAACAATCTGGAGAGTGGTGCGAGAGAAGCTGAAGGACTCTACGGTAATAACTGTAGCTCACCGTCTGAACACCATCCGACACTGCGACAAGGTTATTGTTTTTAAGGAGGGAGGGGTGGTCGAGTCCGGAACATTTGACGCCTGAAGACTCAGGTGTTTTCCGTTAGTTTTTATAACTGAACATAGTTAGTCATGAAAGTGGAACTACTTTATTTTTAAGTTACCTGGGACGGAAACAGACACCTTAGGAAACGTACTAATTTGCCCGGTCCGGTCGTTAATCTTGGCTATGTGGAACCCGGCCTCTCCAATTGGCCTTAAAATACTATGCTTGTAAATTTGGCATATTGTGCCACTAGCATTGTTTGATGTTTATAGCCACGTAAACGGCCGTGATAGTTGCAATGATAAAGTTTTTAACTATCACGCGCGTTTGAACGCTTACGAGGTATATATATCTTATTAGAAGTTTTGTTGTGTAGGATCGCTGAGTATTTTTTATGAGTTGTGCCGTTTTTTGACGAACCCGTAAGGCGAGTCAAAATACAAATAACGAGTAAAAGTACTCAGCGATACTACACAACAAAACTTCTTATAAGACATTTATTATCCAACACGCCAAATTGTTATTTAAGTGCGGGCGAATTTCCTGGATATTTTTGGAGTATAAATATTGCGTGATATTTGTACTCGTCTTAGGCGTTATTTGTACTCTGCTCACAGCTGAATAATAATATGCACTATTATTGACTATAATCAACTAGCATCAAAGAGTGAATGATAACTTTTCAGTCAGCAGTCTTTCTAAAAACGTTCTCAAATCGAAATGGTACATGAAATGGTACATGAAATGGTAGTTCGTTCTCATCATCTGCTGGTAGGCCTCAGTATTTTCCCTTCGCAACTTCTTGACTATGATTCAAAATGCCACCGAAATTTTTGACCTCAGCGCGTGCCAAATTTGTTTACAATATGCGACCTCATTGCGTGTTTTTTTCAACTATTATCAACTACCATGAAAATTTTGAACGTAAACATGATGGTCAACGATAGTGAATGAAAGTTGACTCTATAATCAATTACCATGACCGTTTGATGTACACCTGTGCTCAAAAGTACGCTGGTTTTTTTTTCTTTAAAAGTGCTTTTCAAAAAAAAGGAAATCCAGTGTTAATTGAGCATGATATCTTCTTTGCTTTGAGTTGCATTCTTGCTCTGATAAAACACAAAGAACCACTTCACCTAATTCCAGATTAGAAACGGTGAATTATTAAAGTGTCTAAATACCATGATAGCATCTTGATTCTTTTTTTTTGGTGCCTATGGACGCGCAAAGTGGAACCGAGGCAATTCATACTTCCGGAGTGCCCAGTCTGGTGTGCACGCGAGGGACTCAGTATTACGATAATCTTCTTCCCCGAGAAGAAGAAAAGTACACTGAGAGATACTTTTTTTTAGACTAGNGCAATAGAAATGTTAAAAAAAATGTTTCGGTACAAGAAATGACAGCAGTTTTAAGAGATTTAAGTATTGCAGTAAATGGTTTGAACCCGGGGGTAACATGTGAAGGTGTAGTCTGATCGTCCGGGTGAGTGTAGTCCTGAGAAGGACTGTTGTCGGTGGCAGTGACTGACGTTTCGACAACCTGTGCGGAAGTCATCATCAGAGTCAAGTGAGTGATTGTTGTCAGTAGAATGTTCTTATTCCAGTTCGTGTGAAATGATCGGTTGGTTTTGCCGTGATGTTATTGGCTGTAAGACTCAAGTGACGTAAGTCGTTCGTGATTGGTCTGTTTCGGTCTGTCGGTAAAGCTAGGTTGTTCTTTTTCGGTCGTTTGTGATGTTTATGTCGTGAATGAGTCGTTTGTATGGGGCGGGTAGTTGTTGACATCTGTTTAGGGGAGTCTGTTCTAAGTTAGTAAACCAGCTTTCCAGAGTCAGTCGTTGAAAATAGTCAGTGCTGTAGGTTAGGCATTGCGCAGAGTCCCAGTCAATGTTGTGGTTGGTAAGTCGATGGTGTTCAGCAATGTGATTGCTGACATCACCTTTCCTCGTCGCCCGTCTGTGTTCAGTCAGTCTTGTTGTGAGGTTTCTGCCAGTCTCACCGATGTAGGAGGCTTGGCAGTCGGAACAATTGATCTTATAAATCGTTCCCTGTCTGTTCCTCGGTTCGTCTTTGTCTTTAACGTTGGTTAGTAACTGACGTAGTGTGGTGATGGGTTTGTGGGCGACGCGGATATTGAAGGGTAGTAAGATGCGCGAGATGTTTTCAGACATGCCTTTTATGTACGGTATGGTTGCTGTAGTCGTAGGGGATGTGGTGTCGTTTGTTTCGGTAGTGGTAGTGGTAATAGTTTTTTTTAATCCTGGTTTTCTCTTCTTAAAGAGAGAAACAGGATTAAAAAAAAGCCGCTTAAATGAAGTGAAATCGGTAAAATAACGACACCAGGAGCAAGCAACACACGTATGGAATAAGGTAAGCCATTTTTATTCAATATTTTTACTTTTAACTATCTCTATGGCTATCTTGTAGAAAATCCCATACAAACCCTTATAAATCGATATGCAAATTCTGTTGCTTGTGTGGTTCTCAAAGAGAGCTTGGGCCGCCTGTGCAGAAACTGGAGACCCCATGGCAGTGCCGTGTAACTGTTTGTAGTGTTTACCGTTGTACTGAAAGTAAGTAGACGTTGGGCAAATGTTTGGCAAGTCCATGATGTCGTCTGTCGGTAGCAGTAGTGGGTCGGTAGATTGTCGGATTGCAGTCTCAGTACATCGTAATGCCAATTGAAGTGAAATACTTGTGAACAGTGATTTCACATCAAATGACACTAGTTTGTAGTCGTCAGGTATCTGAACAGTCTTGGTAGCGTTAAGGAAGTCTTCAGTGGATTGTAGTTTATGTCTGGATTTGTCGGTTAGCTGTTGTAATATTGTCGTCAGGTATTTGGATAGTTGGTATGTGGGAGAGCCACAGAAAGAAACAATAGGTCGCATCGGGAAACCAGGTTTGTGTAGTTTCGGCAAACCGTACAGTTTCGGTGGCTGTGGTACCGAGCACCTCAGTCGATAGTACCGTTGGGTGTCAAAGGCGTTCCTTTTATTGGGTGTCAGTAGTTTACTGTTGAGTTTACGTTGAAGTGCAGGAGTTGGGTCACGTTTGAGTTCTTCGTAGGTTCGTTTGTCTTTTACTAGTGCGTCCATTTTGTTGTGATAGTCACTTTTTTCCAATACAACAGTAACTTGTCCTTTGTCCGCAGGTAGGATGACTATGTTCTCGTCGTTTCTCAGTCGTTTCAGTGCGCGTTGTTCGTCTTTAGTCGAGCTGCTGTCATGTAGTTACGTTGATTAGATAGTGGAGGCAATTCTGCTTCTGATGTTATCCTTGGTAGGCTCAGATAGCTCTCGTTGCCGAGACAGAGCCGCCTCAACACTAGATACAATAGCCTCGGTCGGTATACGTTTAGGTGTTACTGAGTGATTTAGTCCGTATGATAGTACCTGAGTTTCAGTCTTGTCTAAGGAACGAGAAGAAATGTTACTTACCCAGTTGTCGTCCGGTTTCCTTTGTTTCTCTTCTTTGTCACGTAGCAGTCGTGTCAATTTTTGTTGATGTCCAGTGCGGGCGCGTTCAGTCACGTTCAGAGGCCATCCAGATCGTCAAAGCCACCTGCAGACGACTGGTCAAAGCGCGGATAAATGAATGCCACAGAAGACTCTAATGCCACAGAAACAAACTACGACAAGTACACGACCAACTGAAACAACTGATACCAACTGACCTACTTGACACCGTTACGACAATTACCGACAAAACGAGCCAACAAGACGACTGAACGCGCCCGCACTGGACATCATAAAATACTAGACATATAGATTATATTAAACAATTATAGTTTTATGAATTGTAATGTGTTTAACATCATATCATTTTGACCAAGAATTTTGGTTCACATGAGCTTTCAGCATCAACTATTAGGACAGGAACCCAATCTATGAAAACATCTTGTAGTGATACAATTAAGAACATAAATCCTCAGTTAAGTTTGGTCATTTGATAGTTTTACTTTGAAACTCTTTCTATTTCAGAATAACTTTTTTTCATAGTCCAAATTCATAAATACCAGTTTTAGTACCAATTCTGTAATAAGTGCCTAACACCATTCTCAACCATGAAAATACTCTGATAGCACAAATTTATGCACACCTGCATTTAACGGCCATCTTAATTTCTGAGAGCATGTAAGTCATCTGCTGTGAGCGATCTCAGTGCATTCTTCAGAGTTGTGCTCCTTGAAATTACATTTTGTACCATGCATGATCATATTAAAATCAAGTCCATAAAGATCCCACAGAAAAGTCAGATAAACGGGAATGCAATGAAAAAATTATGTCACCGGAGAACCGGTAAATATACCATTTATATGTTAGCTCTTAAACGTAACCATGTTGCTATGGCAACCACATCTAGCAGCATGGCGGTTTTACTCTTCACTAGGGTTTTTGGAATAATCATAGGACATTACTTAGTAGGTTGAATTCCATATGTTTAGAGGGAAACATTTTTAACAATGCAAAGAACTTGGTAACTGAAAGAGCTTCAATTTTCTGGGAGCTGAGAGTTTTATATGTGCAGATCAGACAGATCATCTGTCTATTTGGTGCTCTGACATGTAGGGTTGTCCAATTAATGCACACAAATACATTCCAGTCAAGGGAATCTTGATCTATCGCTAGGGAAATCTGCCCAACTTAACTGACTACTTAATTTATTAAGTGGGATCCCAACCGACTCAAAAACGCCTCATTTGAAAGGCAATCTACTTGATGTAGAAGCATTTTGAGATAAAATACGCCAAATCAACTTTCGAGAAATATGACGTCAATTCAGACTTGACAAAAAAAAACAAACAAACAAACAGGTCAGAATGAAACAGTGTTTAAAAGCATACCTGTCAAACAAATATTTAAGGAAAATTCATTTTGAGTGCTTTCCACCAATTCTAGGATCATCTCCTCGATTCTCTTGCATTCTTTCTCCCACGAATACCTCATGCTATATTAGTCTCTGAGCTGCAGGGCGGTGGTACATCTGTCTTCTAGTGTTTGTTCTGACAATCTTCGGATTCTATTGACCCACTCCTCCGGTGCCTCTGAGTTAACAAGCACAGCCATTCCATTTTCCAAGTCTAGGAGAGCTTTTGGCTCTTCCAGTTTCACTGGAGACAAGAACAGGCACACCAGCTGATATGGTCTCCAGCGCAACCAGACCAAAACCCTCCGTGCAGGATGGCATGACTACTAAGTCCGCTTCACGTAACATTCTCTTCATTTTTTCATAACTGCAGAATCCACGAATGGTTAACTATTTGCGCGATATTTTTGTTTCCCTCAGGAACCTCTTTTCCGTCTTCCGTTGTTCATCTTGTGCTGCACCGACAAATGTGAGCTCGAATTTTCTTTCCAGTGAAGCCACAGCCTTTCC